GTTTTGGACCCTTCACTGAGCTGGAGGAGATTGTTGATTTAGATTCTAAGAAAGGTTCAAATGTAAAGCAGGCACTTCAAGGATATAGCGGCATACTTGGTGTCTGACAACACTTAAAAAAATCTCTACAAATTTCCAGAATATGATAAAAAATAACAACCATTTTGGCACAACTTAAATAAGTTGAAAATTTGAAACTGTCTCATTTCGTTTCTCTTACTAATTTTGAAAGTTCAATTGTTTGCTTATCTGTATTTGATCCTTTCAGATTTGACAAACATCAAGGCCTTTGTCTTATTTATATAAGCACTTTCATGCTGCATTGTTGCTATACGTCTTGGAGTATATAACAGAAGAATTTCAATTTCCTGCTTAACCCACTAAATTGCCAGAAGATTTTTTTCCCATACTCTGACTTGGCAATGTTGGTGGTAATTTACTGAGCTACAAAGCATTTTTCGCAGCTGATTTGTCTGATACAGTAAAACTGATCCAAAATTCAATGTAAGAAATAAAAAAATGGTGAGATTTTTAGTAGCTTAGTATTTGCTCTGTTTACCTGAATTGACAGCTTTCCTCCTTGGGTTGGAAGAGCCTATTTAGCTTGGCTTTAATAGTTTAATGTCCCACAAAGTGATTACAGATTTTGCTGAAATCTCTATTTTCAGTCTGAAGTACAGCAGGTTTGTTGGAAAAGAAACTGAGAAAGACCAACCTCAGAGTAGAAATGTTTTTAGAAGAACTTGACAATGTCTAATAACCTCAGCTTGTTTTCCTCACCTGCTCCATTAATTTAAATTAATTTAAAAACCTAATACTTCATATTACAAACAGCAGATTTTTAATTTGAGTGCCATTGAATGTTAAATCTATTTTTTATTATTTTTAAATACTTGAGAATTAATAGATTATCCGTAGGACACTGAACTTGCAAAGCAGTATGCCTTTAAGCAAAGTTAAAGAGTATCGTTGAAGTTTACAGTTACATCTGTTTTGGCTGTGTTATTTAATTACTTGTATCATTCAAATGGCAAGAAAATTAATGTACTTCTCAAAACATTAATGTTAACAAAGCTACTTGTACTAGACAAACTACGCTAGGTTTATTTCCAGTGAGCTTATTGATATTGGTGTCTGGGAAGGCGTGGGTGGCAGCCTGGGTCTTTCTCTCACTTCTGTAATTCACATCCTTATTCCCTTCTGCGCTAAGGAGCGTGAACTCGTAGAGCTGCATTAACCTCAGGTGGGAAACTCTGGCAAATGGTTTCTTGAAGCTTTCAGGAACTTAATTACTTCTGAGACCCCTACCTCTTCATTAGGTTTGATTAAAATCGGCAAAAGGTGCCAAAACTTTCAGAGGACACATACAGGTGCCTACAAAGAATAATTGCATAAGCTGTACAAATTGCTCCTGCACCAACCGGCTGTTTTTCACTGACACTTTTAACTTCACTCATCAACTGCCTGCGTTTCATATGGCGTGTGATAACCGGGCAGGTTTGCTGCTGCCATGCAGAATATATAATGCTTCAGTTCTACCTGCCGTGCCTGCAACGTGTCACATCCACCCTGCCTCCAATTCTCCTGAAATTTGTTGCAACTTAATCAGTGAGCCCTCTACCTCTCTGTCGAATTTAGCTAATCCTGGTTGAGGTTTGGAAGCTTCTGGGCAAGCAGTTGAGATTTACAGACAGAAATGAGGTTTCTGTAATCTCAATATCTTTCTATAGAAATCTCACTAAGAAGTCTACTCTAACAGACTTTCCTGTTGTAGCTGAATACAAGGATGCTCTCCATAGTATGATTGGTTGTAAGCCAGGAATTCTTTAATGTATGGCAGCAATTTTTCTTTAACATTTGAATGCCAAATTGAGCTTAATCTTTTCTTTGTTAATCAGCATCTGAGACTATCTCCATCTTGTGATTCAGTAAGTGTGCCAAAAAGCTTCCATTAATCCTGTTTCCCAAGGACCTCAGATATAACTTGGTAAGTCAGAAATAACACAGTGGACCTGAGCTCTTCTAGGACTGAATTAATGATATCTCATATAACGAAATCTGCAAAGGGAAGATATGGACAGTCTTAAGACGCAATAGTCCTATATACTTCATCCTTATCCGGAAGCACATGGGATACATTGTGAGCCATTCTGAGATATTCAGAACACTGTCTTTTGAGGACTTCTAACACCTTAATGCAAGGAGCTAAAGCAAAGTAAAATTAAATGGGAAATTCATTTTCTGCCTACCTTGTCCAAAAATCAAACCATTCGTATTCCATTTCATTTTGTGCTAACAAGTGACTCCTTCACAATGTACAATTCTTGGGAATAATTTGAAGTTGACATCGCAACATTTTTGACATTGAGGAGAAATTGAAATCCATGCTACTGGAGAGAAAGATGTAATTAAAGGATCTAGTTAGGAGTGGGGAATTTCTGGGTTCAAATCCCTTCTCCTATGTTGTTTTTTTTTTTTTTTTTTCATTTTATCCCCTTATATATAAAATATAAAGCCTCTAATGGGAACAGGACTTACCTGCTCCCGACTGAGCATCCTAACCACTGAACTAAAGCTGCTTTCTGTTAAACAGTGGCAAAACCAGAACAGCACGACTGGGGAAAATACCCTTTCTTCCGCAGTTTCATGCCTTTAAAAGGCAACAGCCTGGCTGACAAAGCATTGCGCCATGAGACATGGGTTTAAATAGCCTTAGACTGAGAAGGCCAGTTCTCTGTAGTCCAATGCAAATGTTGTAACCATTAGGACATTTTGTAGATCAGCCTCGGATGTTTAATGTTTGAAATCTGTAGTTTGAGGTCTAGCACACTTTTATTTTTTGACATAACCCAGTATCAATACAAATCACTGATGGATTTCACTATTAGTTGCATCAGACTCTTATTACTCTTATTACTAGTTCATTTGCATAAATCACTCACCAAGCACAGAAAAGAGGGCTGAAAAGGAACTGGAGGTATCTTCTGGTTCATTTATCTGTTTCTTCCATCATAATTAAATCAATGAAAGTGACATACCACCAAATACCATCGTACTATCAAACCTTGAGAAGGGTTCCATGTGGTTTTGTAGCATTGTCAATTAAGGTCTGAAGTATGTGCATGGGTATGTCCCCCTATCCCTATCAACCCTGTGCTCTGCACTTTATGGATTCTCGCTCGGGGGCTGAGACCTGTCCCTGCAGAACTTAACTTCACAATGGAGCTTTTAATCCAGAGAGGGTGGTGAGACTTTCTTCTTTGCCTTCCTCTTCCTAACATACAAAACCCTCTTACCCCACCACCTCTTACCCAATGCTTCCAGCCATTCCCTTCCCTAGATCCATGGTCTTCTAATGACTCTATGTGTGTGGCATTTTTGGTTTGCTCTTGTGCTTTGGTAGTAAAAAGAAAAGCCCTTCCAGACAGATGGTGGACACAACTTGTCTCTTGCTTAGTTCTCTCTCATTGATGTAGATATCGCAACCCCAGCACTTACGGAAGAAAAGATTTTGGAGAATCAGCGAGTCCAGAGAAGAGAGCATGTTAGTTGGTCAGGACTGTGCAGGATGGCACTGACGACAGAGGAATAGCATTGTGGGTCATGCAGCAGTATAAGTTCCTGATAATATTGATATGATTTAGCATTACTTATATTTAAAATCATGACACTGTCATAGTAGCAGTATTTTATCCATTGTGCACTGATCCTTCCTGATTCAAAGGCAGGGTCAACTACACATAAATCATTCTTGACAGAAACTCATCAGCATGCCTAGGTAATCTTGTAAAGGTTTGCCACTAATTCTGCCTAGCAATTTACATTCTACAGGATTATTTTGTAGACTTAGGAGATTTTTTTTTTTTTAATGGCTGACAATGATTTTAAGACTTTCTTTTGCAAATCTGCTCAGCTATGCAACATAGATGTATTTTGGGTATATGGTTAATATTGTGTATTTTAAATACCTCAGGTAAGACTGAAATTTCCCCTTTGCATAGCTAATGGGTATTTTCATCAGCTGTCAATAAATTTCAGAGATACAGTTAAACTGTAACCATTTAAATGTTCTGTTTTGTAAATGTGGATATTGGAAATATAGTTAGAGATAATAAAACTTGACTACCTCAGTTTATTTTAGTGTCAAAATAAACTGGTTGATAATAAAATTGTCTGAGGGTATAAGAAGTTTTCAAAGAAATCTCAAAAAGTCATTAATAAATCAGGTAAAGTTGTTATGAAGGACCTTGTAATGAATCAGTGATGATTTAACCATTAGTGACTCAAAAGTGCCATTAAGAACTTCAAGGTACACACACAAAAGCGGAAGTGATTGGGAAGATCATGCTCTCTCACTTACCCCGGAGCACTGTTTATATATCAGAGTTATTTCTCTCTTAACTGTGCATGGTGTGGGTCTTTTCTGTTGTTTCCTTCTCCCACTTTATGAAGGAATCAGTTTCTCAATAAGTAATGCCACTGAATAAACAATGGAAAGCTAATTTTTTTTTTTTATTCTGAAAGATGTTACACTAAACAAAGGTTTCATACTATGAAGTTGGAAGGAACCCTTGTGATCATGTAGTCACATATGGATTTTTCATCCATATGACTGCTGTGAATGAATTCCTTTGAACTAGAGCTATCTTTTTGAAGAAAACTCCAGTCAGCAATAGTATTTATTCAAGCTTTAATTCAAGCACTAGTAGTACAGCATGTAGTTCCTCAATCATACGTGCCTGAAAAATGTGCCTAAAGACCGCTGAGATTTCTCTTATTGCCTCATCCATCACAGCTGAAATTCTGTCTTAGGTCAGAATGAATTGAACCCGGTACAAGAAGCAAATCTGAAGGCCCTTGTGTGTGTGCATATATGTGTAAATAGATTTATTTATTTATTTTTAATTAAAAGCCAGACTTTTCTGCCTATCTTCTTTTATGGTTCCAATTACATGAAGACAAAGGCAACTGAATATTCAAATGGTGTTTCTGTATTCAAGGATGATGTCAGCAGTGAAGATCTGCAGTATCCCCCTGCTTCGGTCTTGGCAACAAGTTCAAAAAGGGAGTCGGAGAATGAGAGCGAATCAGCTGTGCATAATGTGGACAAGCAAACAGGCATCTCCCCCTCCCTGGGTAATGCTTTGGAGCACATTGTGGAGCAACTGGATGTTTTAACTCTAGTAAGTATGTAATAACAGATAATTCTTGCAGTGGAAAACGATAATGCTGTCAAATGGGCAAAAAAAAACCCCAGAAGCTACATTCATAAATCAGAATATTAGTGACTATTGGGGTTATTTTGAATAGTTGTATGCTCAAGTGAATGTTTTGGGTTTTTTTTTCCTTTCAGCAAATATTGATCGCGTGTATTGTGTTTGCTAAAGTGAAAGCTTCCTGCTACATAATCATAAAGATTATTGTATTTTTAACTCTGGAGGACAAGAGTCACTATTTTTCAGTAGTGAGGTCTAGTGTAGATTTGCCAGAAGCCATTTGTTTAGCAGACATTGTCAGATTCCAGCTTGAACAGTCATGCATTAGCGGGGGATGAACCAAGTAAATTGGCAATGTCCCATTAAATCCCTTTTCAAACTTAGTGTTCAAGGTGTTGGCTGAGGTAGGAATCTAAGCAGTGGAATAATTCCTAGTGTCACTGAAACTGCACAAATACCAGTCTCAGTCAGTGACTCTGAGTCACTTGTCTGCGAATGCTCAATGCTACTTTTTAGTAATGCAGATTTAGCCAATCTATGTTTTCAGATACTACTCTGTAGTCTGTAATATATTAACATTAGACCAAATCAAAAGGGAGAGGCTAAGGTGTTTTTTTCCTGCGTTCTTTTGCAATATATATGTTAACTCAAGAAATAAGTTTTGGGAAGTATTGAGTCAAGTCATCAGTTGAAAATTATTTGTGTAGTAAATTGGATTAAAAAGAAACTGCCAGCCTGTGTCCAGAAACCTACCCTTTCTGATGAAGGTAATCTCCTGGAGAATACCTTTTAATAGTAATTTTTTTTCTTATTTTCTTTTTTGGAAAGCTTCTTTTAGGTTTTTGGAAGACACCATTTGGGGTGACCAGTGATGGCTAGTTTTCTATTCAAATATGGATGTAACGTTTGCGTAGTATTTCAAAGTAATTTCTATATGCACATATACATTTCTGTCTCTCTCTCAGAGAAAATATTTTATGAAAACAATTTTAAACCTTTAGACAATTTCTATAAATAGAAAGCCATTATTTTAAAATACAGTTGTAAGTTGTAGAATAGCTAAGGAAAGACCATCTGAAGATATTTTTTCCTGTTGAGTTAAAATGATTTTTCTTATGTTACTATGTTGCACACTCTTATAAGACTGTGTCAGTAATATAAAAACAAATTGAAATTACTGTCCTCTTCATGCAGACTATTTCAATCCTGGAACAACGTCTGACTTTGACTGAAGATAAATTGAAAGAATGCTTAGAAAATCAGCAAAAGATGTTACTTGAGGGAAGACAGGAAGAATAAAAGATGACAATGAACTATATGGATGAATATATTTTATATATTCACAAGGAAATAATAAATGTTACTTCATTGGATTTTGCTATAAGCCAAAAAATAATCCTTTTCTAACAAGTCAGCGTAAGAAAAACTGAAGAAAAAGTATACAACACATTTTAAACATTGGTAGCAAGCAGATCTTCTGGTTATATATTTAATAAAGTGTAGCCCAGACAAAACTAATATTTTCTAAAATCATTCCCATTGAACATTACAGGACTCTCATTTCAACCTAATAAGGTCTTTGAATACAACTAAGGAACAAACTGCGTATTTTTAGATGAATAGCAATTATTATGGAAGTGCACTATGCAGGTTTTTTAATTCAGGTAAGGATTGAGAAAATAATGCTCTTTGTGTTAAGGCAACATTACTCAAGCACCTAAATTAAATACGACCTAATTAGGCCTAACTCCAAAAATGCCAGAGGTTTTCTTTGTCCCTTACTTGCTCTCAAATATTTTTACCAAAAAGTAGTGGCAGTTACTCTATAGTTTCGAAACATTTTAGTGGATTGCAAAAAGATGTCATGTAACAACAAATATGAAAATGAAGTCACTTAAACTTTGAAACCATAATTGTATCTGTGTAAACTCAGCTGCAAGACTGATGCAGCCGAGCACTGCTGCTTATCTCATCCCCGTCAAAACTCATTTTTCATATATAGAAAAATAAAAATCAGCTTTGTACTTCTGAAGAATATATTTGAACCAAAGACAAAATGATGTGAAATCTGTATCGTAAATACAAAAGGTTCTCATCCTCCAAGGAATTCCACAGGTGCTCAAGCTTTGCATGCTATGAAAGTTCCCCATCAGTTAATGTGTTATGAAGGAAGCCATTAATCAGGAAAGACTTTGCAATGTATAATGATTTTGGTTTTATTTTTAATAAAAATGCAATTTTTAGATGATTCTATGTCTTTTTTTTTTTTTTAATAGAAAACTTCTATGCTTCTTTAGGTCTACCTATTATTTTTTTTTAAATGGCAATTGCAGAACACTTACTGTAAATCCACAATCAAAGCTAGGTAGTCATCCATTTCTGCGACTTCACATTTTGTATGTTGAAAAATAGCACACTTGAAATGGGGGGAGCATTTTAATCCAATTCTTCAACTGACTGTATATAGATAAAGCCCATTTCCCAGGCTGAACCTCATTAACATCAACAGACTTCAGCTTAAGTACAGAAGCTCCCTGTGCAAATACTATTGCAGTTCAAGCCAAAGCAATGAGCAGTCAATTTTTCTTTTATAACTTTTCATTTTCTCTCATGGTAATCACCTTCAGATAGCCAGACACCACCTCGCTTGCTTGGTAAACTCTGAATTTTGCCAACAAGTACTACATATTTTCAGTTCAATCTTAAGTAGTCCTGTTTATCGCAAAGAAGCAGTCTCTTCTTATAAAAATTTTAGATGCAACTAATTCTACGCAACATCCTAGCACAGATTTTTTTTTTGGTGAAAGGATGGTCTTACATATTCCAATGTAAACAGCCTGACCTTTGATTATGCAATTGTTTTATAATGCTATATAATGCATAGTTATGTAAATACTGTCTTTTAGGTCAGATGTACTTTGCTTTACTCATTTGCAAATACTCTTGTGGTCTTCGTGTTTTCTTGGCTCCATTAGAAGAAGCAAAACCATGTAGCTATTGAAGTCCTTTTCCTGTTTCTTGTTTTCTCTGAGTGGACCATATATATCTGTTTTGAATCACAGAATGGTCAGGGTTGGAAGGAATCTCTGGAGATCATCTAGTCCAACCCTCAAAATCCCAACCCCCTAAATCTCTAGATTATTTTTTTTTTTTAAGCTTTCCAGGATTTTTTATCAACAGGACTTGGAAATGTATTTTACTTCTGTATTTTTTAATAAAGTCTCTGCTGAAATTTTCCTTTCTGCCTTAGCTCCTATCACTAATCTGTCTTCCTTTTTAGTACCTATTATCTGGAGCATTTACTACTTAATCCAGTTTATTCCTCTGTTTGTGAATCTGGTGAACTAACATAACGTTTCCAAGTTAGGATATATTCTTGTCATTCTGTCAGGTGGTCTGTTGATATTGAAACTCAACATGCATGGCACTTGGGATGGCTGTATCGCTAGAAATAGTTGTTTGAGAACAGGATGGAGGTATTTTCCTCAAGCTGTGGTGGCTCTCCTAGAACACAACCACAACCAACTAACATGATGTTTCTTTTAAAAGAATATTGATGTGGGCTAGTTATCTCATTCTCTGGATCCATATAATTTCAAATAAAACTATGGAGTAGAAAAACTTTCCTTAAAAGCACCTGAAGAGGCTGGTTTAACTTTCAGAAGCATTTACTCTAGGGTTTGTGCTCTGGCAAATAACTGGTGACTTGACTAATTTGAATTACCTGATAGAGCTTGAGGAAAATGACTGCTGGTTAGCCTTAGTTGTGCTTCTGCACCATGTGAAAAAATAATTGCACGGGTCTTGAAATGCTTATGAAAAGTTTATCTGTATTGCAGACTGCAGTGAAGTAGTGAAAATCCATACTTGTTCTAAACAAGCAGAACCACATACCCAATGCAGTCCTCAAGCAAAATTATCCCTCTAATAGCAAATGTAAATATGCCACCCTGTTGGAGAAAGACTTCTTCCAGCATCCAGGCCAGCTACTGTAGAAATGGCTTAATTATTAAAAAAAACCCCAAAACACCAATGTCTGAATGACATCCAGTAGATCCCCAAGGTTTGTGGGGGAGAGAGAAGGTGGCAGCAGGAAAAACCTCTCCTGCCGACTGGGAGACTGTCTCTGGAGGAACCCAACTTCCAATTCCTGCAGCGTCAAAGTGTTTACGCGGTAGCTCAGCAACTCGTGGTACGTGCTTCTGCAGCCATTGCGAAACAAAACTGCTCTTCAAAATTGAAAGCAATGCTGTCACTTACATAAAGCATGATGTTGAGGCAATAAAGGTATTTTTCTCAGTTTTTCATTTTGGATGGCAATATGCGCTTTCTTTGGGAGCATGTTTAGAGGTTCCTAATTATCCCCGTGGGGCAGACACAAAATGGCTAAATGTTGCAACGTTGGACCTTAAAGCACTTCACTTTTTCTTTTTTGATCTGAACACAGAGGTTTTCAAATAGCAGGGTAAAAACAGACAGACATCTGTTTATGCCAATAATCCATTGTGCTTTATGGACCAACCTGACAACTCAAACTGTATTCTGGGTTTTCTCTATTTTTTAGAGGTTGTTTTATTTTTGGTTTGGTGGGTTGTTTTTTTTTTTGTTGTTGTTGGTTTTTTTTAAACACACCACTACATTCTTCAAAAACTTTCAGTATTTACCTTTTACCACTGCTGACACTTTTTTATAATCTTATAGTTTTAGAAAACCAGTTCCTGGAGGTGAATGCATCTGAACAACTCCCTCGTCTTTGGGGGATTGTTGTTTCTTGTTTTTATACATGTAAGATAATAATTCATTGTTTCATTATCTTTCTGGCAAGAAACTTAAACTGTAGTTTTAAATTTTGATTAAACTAATCTTCTGGTTGGAGAAATTGTGGTAGAATAGCTTCCCTTTGCCATTTTTGGATGGCCTGAACAGATCCCTGTAGCATGAGGGATTTGAGAACAGCTTCCCACCTTTATATATATTTATTTAAATAAATAAATATGCTGTACTATTTTTAGGGTAAACAGTATTTTTTTTTCTTCCTTTTTTCTTCCTTCTTACAGTGTTGCTGAATTATTTTCATTGCCACATCGCAGCACAAGACCACTCTTGAGTTTTCTACTGAGTGGCGGTAGCTGGGATGTGAATGTACTTCCAAGGACGTCGCTTTATGCAACCCGTTTACCTTGTAAGACTTTTACAAATCAGAAATTCTGTACTCTTTGCCCCAAACAATTAATGAATATGTATGTTCACATTGGATTCAGGAACAGTATGTTTTTGTCAGAGTGCCCCCTCGGGGACTTTTGCACGCTTCGGATGCATAATACAATTGAAGCCGTTTCTTTGTGAGAAAATAGGTTAATGACTTGCCAAAAGGCAGATGTTAATTGGAAAAAGTGCATACAAGTCCTTTTCTTTACAATGTATATGGGTTGCATTTGTTATGACTTGCATCCAAGAACAGGTGCAATTTCAATTGACTCAGCTAACAGGATGTGCTGAGTACACTCCTCACCAATTTCACCAGAAATTTTAAATCCAGCAGAAAAAAAAATGAGATTCTAAACTAGTCAGTGAGCAATAAGCAGCATTTATTACCTCTTACAGAATGTATTTATAACTTAGTATTGTACTTAAACATCTTAGTAATATTAAAATAAGGCCTTTGATTATTTATTGGTTTGAAGACTTTTTCTGGTGAGTGCTGAGGAATCCTATACAAGACAAAATGTGTCATCCCTTCCAAAATATTTTCTTTTGTGAAAGAGTTCTAGACAAGGTACCACGAGTGTATTTGTAAATGTGACTTAAAGTAGGAAAATTGCTTATTTTCCCTAACACGTTTCCTGCTGCGAAGCTACACAATCAGATTCAGATCTTCACCTTGCCTTGCTTCATTTTCCTTGTCTTCAGAAGCAAAAATTAATAAAACAAGTGAAAAAAAAAAAACCACCTGGGTGTGTCAGGGTCAGAACGGTTGCTGTTTGGTAGTTTAATAGTTTGATTCCAAGAGCCTCTGGGAATTTCATACGAGTCCACTGGAGCAGGGACTTGAGTTTGGATCCGTGTGCCTAACCTAACCTTGGCCTTCAAAAGTCACTCTCTCACCTGAGGAGAGCTGAATGTAAAATTGGTCTGTCTGGGAAGCAGCGACGGTCTAGACCAGTGCAGGAACATCTAGTTTAGGAGTCCCCCAGGAGCTTTGGCATTAACGGGGGTACCGAGTCTGCTGGAGATGGGGGTCACACGATTTTCCCATGCCTCTAGCAGGGGCCTGGGCGTCAGAGGCCTCGGTGCGCTTG